GAACGCGACTGCCAGTTGCCCCATTCAACCCGAAAAATGCCTGGAACTTATCCCCTCTCCGTTTTTGGCAAATTTCAAAAGGCGCGAACTTCCGTGCTTGCGTGGGGTAGCCTGACGGTCCCGGATCAACTACAGTGTCGACCCGTGCACGTTTACCTGCATAATCGGGAGCATTTCGCGACTCTATCGAGGTGGATTTTGGCCTAAGGACTTTACTCCTTATCCGTACGACTTCCAAGTTTTTTCGACGCACTTGGGTAAGCCGAAATTTCTCTCAAAATAAAATGTATACCTAAGCTCTCACTCTCCAAGCTCTCCTTTTAACAAAGAAGCTTTAAAAGGAACTTTCAGATTTTGTTTTTCGATAAAACATACATGATGGATGACACAAATATACGTTAGTATGAATTTTTTATGTTAAATGAAAGTATAAATCAAAAGCAAGATAGCGTGGAATATATCTATTTTTTGTTTTCATTTTAAATGAAAGTATAAATTAAAAACAAAATCTTAAAGCTCCTTTTGGAAAACCCTTTATTCTGTATTTACCTTTGCAACAAACGGATCGCCTCTCTCTCTCGGGTGTACTTTGATTACTGAGACACCTTGTATGGTGGTAACGAACAGGAATCAAACACGTTTACTTTTTGTGTACCATATCGAACAGTTTCACAAGGTTGTCGACATTAATGTAAACCAATGCCATTCAATGCCGTACAACTCTGTTTATTATTGCTTTCCATTGGAACGCTATACTAATCGAAGATTCCATTATTTGAATACGTCCTTGTAGTATATTTCTGGTTCTATGGGAACATTCTTTTATAACGGTGAAAACTGTCTCTGATCGAAGACAATTTATCATGGAACTGGCATGCCTTCGCACTCGATAATGGCATCACGGAAGTGACTACTAAAACTAGATATGATGTAATTGAGAAATTGGAAAGTATAATAACATTAGCAAGAATTTATGGAATTAGGAAAGTTATGGTTACCGACGTTAAGAATGTTTTTATTGACAATCCCTTGAGCATTTATGCCATTAAGAAAATTGGTTATGTAGGAAGCTCGAGGTGGGAAAAAGAGTTTTCTTATTTCTGTTACTAATGATATTTTTGTATGATTTATTTTGATCCTCTTAGCATCATAGCTAATAACTTCCTTGATTGTTTCTTACTTGATTCTACTATCGCTTGAAATATCTTAAACATTCTTATTTTCTTGTTTCGCACTTTATTTTTAAAGGAAATTTTTGTTTACTTATTCTCTTTTATATTCTTCTTGCATAATATTTAACGCTTTCATATACTTTTACAAACTATTTACATACTCCACACCATTCGTGTTCTATTAAAAAACAATATCCTGGAGTCCCTTTAGAGAAACCCTGTTTTATTTTAAAAGGTGCTATTAGAGAATTCTTTTATGTCAAAAAAGTAAAAAACCATCGAAACGTTACTCCCAATGCAAAGTGATCGCGCGAGCATAAAGTTTGCTCAACGTATACACGGTAATTAAATTTAATTCGAAAATTATACTATACGCATGACCGTGGTCTAAATGCGTCTCCTTTAAGAGCGGTCACGAAATGGAATAAGCACCGCGAGTAAAGTCGACGACAATGAACCGAAGAAGGGTGATGACTTTAAATTTTCTAGGTACATAGAGGTGATTTCGCAATATGCATTTTTAAGCAGGCGACGATTCTTCCAACAATCGTGAGCCGCATTTTCGGAATTTGCTAACCTTGAATTTCGCATCACGGAAACGGTCCTTGACTCCAAACTGGTTCAAGTAATTGTCTGGAAGCTTACTCTTGTTTTCGCGAGCTATCGCCGCGGATATCAATCGACCCCACACCGTGAAAGTTGGCGAGAAAAGTCGAATTTCTACTCTTCGTTTCGAGATCAAGATTTCTCCAAGGGAGGTTTTATCATTTTTAAATGGACACTTGAAGTGAACGCTTGAACGTTCAATTCAAATCTGTGTACTTCGTCTACAATTTTAAAAATCAAATAAATATCATTAGAAAACAAATGATTTCAAACAAATCTAACTATACAAATACATATATTTGTACAGTTAAATTTATATATAAACCAAGCAAATTTTAATTAATAACTCCATTGACCGTCCTCAACACGAAAAAATTCATTGTCAGTTCGAATCGATTGCTGAGATCAATGTACACGTATTAAATGTTAATTTTTATTGCTTTTAAGTATAGAACGTACATGCATAATGTATAGAAATTCATACCGAATTCCTCCATTAAATTAGATGGTAATAAGCTAACAATGTAAGCATGAGTAATTGTATGAATTCGTTACATACGTTAGAATTCGTGAATTGTTTATGCGGAACATACGGGAATACAAAAGATTGAATGCCTCGAAAACTGGTCGCGCTCGCAATTTATTTTCGTGAACCAAGACTTCCTCGTTCCTGTACACATGGCTACACACGTGCTATGTGCTAAAATTTGTTTACGACACCATACTTGCGAAATGTGTGGAAATACGCGTACACCTATTAGACGAAAACAATAGTTGTTAATAGCAGTGTGGCAATAGTTTATAATTTCACACAAAGTATTTATGCGTCTCCAGTGATCGTAATTGGACAAGATGCTGGACTCTAATAACAACTACTTAAGTTATTTGAATGGTTACCATGGAAATAGAAAATCATGATTGCGCAGGACAATGGTGTTTTCAGACAATAGAGCTGAGTGTGTTTGTTTACATAAACATGAGCAGTCAACTGTGAATACATTTCTTACACGCTATTCCGGGTACACTATGCAATAAATATTAAAAATAGAAAATAGACATAAATATGTGGTCGCTGAAAACTACATTAGAAGTGCTCGTCAATATTGAAATCTATTTTACAGTCTCTAATCTCCTTGAAACACTTCGGTAAAACGGCAAATGTATTACAGTAAATTTTTGTTATTATTCATGAATGTAAGAGGGTCACAGAATCACGGAAGTCCTATTTTCCAGAAGATTTTTCTGTTAATAATTTCGACCTGCCTTTTATCGTAGAACTATCGTATTCCAGCACTCGTGGATTATTCCAGATGAAGGTAATAAAATGGATCGAGAGTCGAGAGAGAGAGAAAATTACTATTTTAACCGAGTGAACGTTCCTCCACATTCAGAGATACGTCTTGGTTGTACGTGTACTTGAAACTGGATCAGAAAAAAAAGTTACTTCGAATGATATTATTCAGACCGAGATTACTCACGTATTTATGTGACGCAACTGTGTAAAAACGTCATCTGCGGGTATGGTTGTGAGACATATCCTACGTTTCAGACAATTCCTCGATGAGGAAAATTTTCCATTTTTCTGTCCTCTGACCGAGTGGGTGAAAAATCACGCGATTTTAGGAAGCCTGACATCGAGCCACCGTTAAATTTTATATTTAGAAGTTGACGTTGGAAATAACTTGGGTAAGTTTCTGTTAGAGGCTTCTCCGTGATTTATATCCGTACGAGGACATGATTCATGGGATTCGTGCAGCGGATTTAATTTCGAGAGATATACAACAAGTATTACAATTATAATTTTTTACTTTTCGTGCACCTTGGCGAAAATGAACGCGAGTTCCTTTCGTATTTCGCCGTGTGATCTCCGTAATAAGGAACTCGTCCTTCGTCCGGTAGGGCGTGGTCAATTTGTCCTTGACCGAAGGAATAAAGGAGTTCATACTTTAGGTAATTACGTGGTTTTTATTGCACTTTAGATTAATTTAATTAGAATTATAGTTTGGACAAATTTTTGATGAATGGTCAATTCGATTGATTGAGTATCGTTTGATTTATTGACGTTTGAGATGGAAGTATAATTATTCGATTTATAAGTGTATTCAAAAACCGTAATTACGAAGTTGTATCCAACGTTTGTGACAACATTGTATCCTTGACTTGCGACTATAAATTTCTGTTCAAAACTTGTATCCAAAGGGTGTAATTATAAAGTGCAATCAAAACTGGTATTCAAAAGGTGTAACTAAAGGGAGTAACAAAAATGTGTAGCCAGAACTTGTATTCAAAATAGAAGAGGGATAATACATGACACAAGACTCAGAGAATATGTTAAGGAATCGATACAATAAAATTGAACTTAAGAACTTGTTATAGAATATATCATTATGAAAAAGTATTGGTGAAATACATGAGAACGCTCTCAATGATGCTGAATTATCGCCTCACAGAACAATCAACTGTAAGATCGATCTAAAAAATATCGATACAGACTATACCAAAACGAAAATATTTTAAGCCAGCATGAAAATGAAAAATTATAATGACAACGGCTAAATAAACTTTACTTTCGTTAACTTTAATCAACTCCGTTCGACAAGAAACAGGAGACTTCATACATAGTAATAATAATTCCCCGTTTATTTACGTCAATGTTAACAGATTTTATCAACAAGAAACAGAAAAACCCAAACGTGTGTCATTATCGGTTAAATAACATGTGTACGTTCGCTCTATAAAAGCATATATATTTAAAAAAAAAAAAAAAGAGAGAGACAAAAACGGAGTAAAATTAATAACGAACAACAACAAGGTTTTTATCACAGGTGGTTAAAGCATTATAGATCAAACGATCGAGACGCAATTAAAAATATCACTGGTAGCAAGAAGTTAATACGACCTACGGAAACCTGCTGGTAAATGACGAAGAAACCAGATAGCGTGGGAGGGGTGGGAACCCCACGGACCCATCGGTGCTCCGTTAACCTTTGATCATCCCAACCGATCCACGTACAGCGATTGTCGCGCGACCAGACGATCCTTCGATCCTCCACCTAGGAGCAGTGATCACTTCTCCACCTGTATAGTGGGGCGTCTAGATCGGTCACCGGTTGGTCAACGATCCACGTGCTCCACGTATCGTACGGGGGAACGAAACACGAGTGGGGGGCTGCAATGTCTTTAGCACGTATTTTTTGAACTTCCATCGAACCGTGTTTTCTTCACTTTTGCACAGAAGCGCACGACGTACGCACCGCGAAGAAAGTTCGCTCCGCGTGCCGGTCACGATCCGCCGAACGATCTTCCTGTCATACATGTAGCGTTCGAGGCATCGATCATCCAACCGGTGTACGTAAATCGGGTCCAAGTAACAGCCTCGAAGTGTACCTAGCGAACTGGTTCGCGATTGGAATCGCATCCAGCGAGAACACACGAACTCTGGAGGAACTCGAGGATTCCCAAGGATCGTCGCTTCGAACCGGTCGAGCCGAAAGTAGTTCCACCAAGGAAATTGCTCGGTTTTCGAATCGGTTTACGCGTTGGTGTTAAAGGACTGACAGCGTAAAGCTCGAATTTCCTTCCGTAAACAGTAATACCCAGAAACCAGTTCCGATTCGCGCGAGTTCTTTGTGCAAAAAAAAAAAAAAAAAAGAGAGAGAGAGACTCCTCGGTTGTCGAAGCGTTTTCGTAACACGCGCCGCATCGTTACAGTGAATTTTTGTCTGCGTAATACGGTCGCGTTTTATTTAGTTCTACGATAAACTGCTCGAGTGTGACAATGAAGGACTTCACCATGATATGGAGCAGATTCACCGGGCGGCGTTACTCGTCCGTGAATGTAAATCCGCATCAAAGCGACTCCAGCGAGTCGGAGGAGATGGCCATTAGTCGGAAGACAAGCATCAGGAGAAAGTCCTCGATCGTCGTGAACCGATTCTTCAACGCGGCCTTGCCGGTGAACTCCAGCGGAAGGCCGAAATGGTCAAAATGTGAGTTATCGTTACGGGGGTCATCAAACCTCGGAATTATAAAAATTGAACTTTTCGCTGTGATCATTTTGTATTTGTTTAATTTACTGTGCCTGATTTGGAAAATGATTAACGAACGGAGAAACTGTATTTAATTATGTGACCAAGGAGTGAGTTATTGCTTTAGGAGGATATCGAACCTCGGAATCTTTAACGTCGATCTTTAATACGTGATTTTATGTATCTATATAGTTTACTGATCGGGGTTTGGTGTATGGTTCGTAAAAATTTAATTGAAAATTATGAATTACAATATTCGAGCACACGATCAAGAAGTAAGTTATTATTAAGAGATTAATAAATATGAAAATTGTTTTGAATCACGGTGAAAAATTTGATTATTCATTATTGGGGGACGGGGGGGGGGTGGCAGTTCAACAATGAAATTTTAAGAATCGTTCATTTGGGTGTGTGATATGTCAAAAATTTGTTAAAAATTAAATTAAATTTAATAGAAAATAAATCATCTTATTATGATAGTTCACATCTAATTGATAGTACCTACTACATTTTTGGAATTCTCGTGAATCAAACTTGGAAATAAAATGGCAACTTCAATATTAGCTATCTACTCCAAGATTGTATGTTACTCAAATTCGAAGTATTGTCTGAATAATTATCGAAATGAAAAATTACTTCAATAACATCTCAATCGAATGATTGACCGTACCCATAAAAATGATATATATAGTAGTGTTACACACACTATTACACGTCACTTATATTCATCCTTTATTATTGGAACAAGATATCATTGTCTCATCCATGATTATTTATTGTTCGTGGGAATAATAGACGAGGGATACAATATGTAATTGATTATTTAGAGGAAACGTTGTCCAAATACCTGGTCGGTAGTACGCACATTTATTTGGTAATCGTAAATGAGTCAGTGGTAATATACGGACAGGCTTCCCAAGATAAAACTGGTTTTATGGTGATACAGGTGGTAATAACGTTGATTGAAATTTCATACACGAATGAATGAATGCGACAGATTGATTCGAGGCATTTGGTGAAAAATAAACTGTCGAAGTTAGATGATGGTTGAAATTCGCAAGAGATTTATGAATCTAGAAATTTTCCAATAGAGAAGCTTCCAAAATGTTTTCCACAAGATTGAATAAAAAATTAGAGATTTCAAAACTAACCATCACCAAAGAAACGATATCTTTATTTTGAAGACCACTAAGAAGACTTTGCAAAAGTTGTCTCTTAATCAATCGCGTACAGCGTCATCTTCAACATGCACGCATGTAACACAACGAAATTATCGGCATCTTCAAGGTGCATGTAAAATGAAAAGTCACTAATGTAAAAGTCACAGTGTAAAATTGCGATAGTTTCTTTGGAATTAATTTCCAACGAAGACTTCATTTTGGAGCAATTTGACTGCCCAGCTCCTTTGATCGCGTACAGCGGCCATTTTTAATTTGCACACATGCAACTTAAAAAAATTGTCTGTATCTTCAAGATGTATGTAAACATTGCGTAAAAGGAAAAGTCATGAATTGTCATTCGTTGCGTTGGAATTAATTCCCATTATTTTGTTGTAATTCGACTGCATGGCCCCTCGGCGTCTGATAAATAATCAGTGTTTGGATAATCAGACGTGCCCGGATAATCGGTTCTCGGATAATCGAGGTTTCACTACGTGTCGATAAGCGTCTGCAGTTACTTTGTCAGAAGATTCTTGATTATCGTGCATAGCTATCGAAAGATGACATCAAATAATATCACACGCAACATCAGAAAACAATTACGCGACGCAGTCTCATCCTGGCTTTCGCCGTGATAGGACGTTGTTTGGATTCCGCGTTCGTCTGCGTGTGTCGCGAACTAACGAGTATTTCATTTCGTGTCCGTGTTTATGAGTGGTGTTTTGGTGAAAAACAGAGCAACAGAAGTGACAAACACTACCGGCACGCCAGGCTCTGGCACGTGTATACATACGTACACCAACATGGTACAACCCGAATACCAATCCAAAGACGCAAGTCTTATATATTGAAATCAACGATATTATTAAATATGTATATTCAACCACCGATTAAACCACTATTATTCACAGACGACCCAATAATATGGAGAAAAATGTTATAACAATAACAGAACTACTCCGAACCACCTTGAACAGGTTAAAAGTATGATAAATCTGAACTCAAAGTATCAACAGACAAAACAAAGTACATTATATTCTCGAGGAAGAAAATCTCTCCCCAATTACCAAAATGGCGGAAAAGAACTTCTAAAAGTAAATAAAAGTAAATAATTCGATACTAAATTAACTTGGCAAACTCATATTAAACGTGTAAATGATAAATGTTTGAGCAGACTAGATTTACTCAATTCCTATACCAAACGGAGTACTGACCTATGAACATTAACGTGAACTTATGGTAACATAGCTAGGTCGAAAGGAGAAATGTGTTCGGATTTCTTATTTAAGGACATCCTGTACACAAGCGAGAAATGAAAGTGTTGCTAAAATTGAAAAGGCACTACCCAAGGAATAGAAACGACACGAAAATCAATCCACGCGACGCGACATGTATACATAATGATAATTACCATTATAATCGTTGAATGACCAACCTATTTATTCAATACAGATAAGGATATAGGAATCAATGTGTTCAAAATAAATTAGTCAGCCTTGTATTTCGCATTTCTTATCAAAGTCCAAAACCCTTACAGGAAGTTTGCGGGGTTATGAACGACTCATCCTAAACGAGTTGGTAATCCGGTACCAAGGGTCATAGTTACACCCTATTAATCCAAAAGGTCTAGGATATAAGATTTAGAAATCTTCAAAAGAGCAGCAATATTGTTTCCGATCCTTCTGCGTGTCCTGCAGGCGCAGCTGCGACCAATCACAGCTACAGCCCTTGAGGATTTTTGTTGTTACTCGCGAATCGAAACTTCTCAAGCTAAAGTGAAATTTATCGCAATAATATAATTATCATTGAGTTCGCGACATTGAACGTAACATTAAAATTACATTAATGTATAGTTAACTGCCGATTACAAAACCAGTACGAGTAGAGATTTGCCTCTAAGACAAGATAAGACCTAATTTGTCGATGAATTAGCCTCTCGAAGACTTCCTATGTCAAATGTTAATAATGTCTCTCGTGACTACGAATACAGCATAAAAAATACCGCAAATAGATTACACGCGTTTAATACCACATATACACGAGAAAATCGCGACCTACTTTCGCCGTACAATGAACTAAACTCATCCAGACGTCGTTGTTAATGCACATTTGTGTATATTTACGTAATTAGGCTTCAACGCGAGTAATTAATAATCTTGCGAAGATTGTAAAGTGCTGGAACCCTTTTAATCAATCGAGCCGCAAGCAATGGACTTGAAACAAAGCCTCGCTTGTGTCGGACGTAACGACTGAGGGAAATGAAATTAAGTAAACAAACGATATAAAACTAACAGATAAAATTGTATTATGCAGTACGCCGAGTGTTAACCAGTACAGTCAGAATTTATCGACGGAAGCTGGACAAAGGATGTAGTGCATTATGGTTGTACAACGTTTGATAAAAACTTCATTAAGTCGAATTTACGTTATAAACAATTTCTTTGGAGACAAACCGACTCGATCGACTGAATAATACATCCCGCGAAGCATAAATGAAATTGACTTAATTATTGACGTAAACAAACAAGTATGTCCAGTTACGAAACATTGTTTGCGTTAAAGGCAATGCTTCGTTTGAAAGACTATTTTAAACGGACTCGAATTTTTCAATTCACTGCACAGCTATCGAACGATTTTAAGATTTTATTTTTTTAAATGAAATATAAATCGAATTCGATGTATTTAATTGTTTGAAATGAAGGCACATAGGAAGGCACGAATGAAGGTAGATAGACCTCGTTAAGTGTTTATGAGAAACAACATTCTGAAACCTTAATATCGATACGTATAAGCATGTAAATTTCACATTCGGTTTAAGAAGCTTTTGTTTGAATAAAATCTTACGCTACGTTACACAAAACGATTATGATACCTACTCTCTTCCCAAGGAGAGCACACTTCTCAGCGTCAAGTGTTTAATGGAGTAATAAATAAGCGCCACGCGTAGTTTCATGCTAATAACGATCATCCTTCCTGGACACACGCGTCGGTAAAACGCGACACCGTTATCGAATCCTCGAATATGAAAAGCTTCCTTCTTTGTCCAATGACGGGAATTGCCATTTCAGTAATACCAATTAAGGGAAGCGCATAATAAAACTCTTAATTGGTCATTTGCTGTGATCAAGCGTGCAATATCGAAGTCAGGGTCAGACGTGAAATAAATATCCATGAACGTAGGGTTTGAAATTTGTTTCTCGTATATAATAGACCCATTGCGATTCGGTTTACGACTGAATTTAAGAGAACAATTTAATCGTTGGCTTCTGACTGTCGATAGAATCGAGTTTAGACGAGTAATGGCATACCTGAATTAAAATACCTGATGCATTAAATGGAAATAGTAAATATGGATTTTGTTGAATTGGAATTAATCAAAGTTTCTGACTCTATATAGTGTTGTATAATGAGAAAGAACAAAATTGTACTATACAGGTGCAAATGGAGAGGTAAATGGAGATTGTAAAAATAGACTCTGTTAAGTTAGAATTGAGCAAGCATTTTGTATCTAGGAAGTATTAAACAATGAAAGAGAACCAAAGTGTATGTACTATACAACGATGGAATACGTATCCTATGATAACAGGAACACGCATCAGGTCTACATACCGAATTCGAAACCACTGTTGTCTATTCGTAACAGGTACATCTTTAATCGATGGCTTGCTTCACTAACAGAATGTATTAACATATATTTTTGCGACAATATTTGGGTTGAGTCATCCCAGTTAAAATTAGACAGCGGACTATTAATACGAGTGTCCCGAAAACTTCATTAATTTCTATATTGTAATGTCACGA